AGATGAAATGATCATCTACAGAGAAAATATTACGAAATCTCTAGGAGCCCCTAGAACTTGTATTTGAATTTAGCAGGATTAGAAAATACAAGGTATATATAAAAATTCAGGTCTATGTATACTTGCTATAAATGAAGAATTGGATACTGAAATTTAAGTTATGGGGCCAGGGACTTAGCTCAATGGTTCCACCCCCTGCCTCACAACTGCAAGGACCTGAGTTACATCCCTGGTACAAAAAAAAAAAAAAGTTATGTAGGAGTACAAAGGATCTAGAAAATTGAAAAGAAAAAAAAGTGTTGGAAGACATTTATTATCTAATTTCAAGACTTCTTCTAAAGCTACAGTAATCTACAGTAAAGCCACAATGTTGGCTTAAGGAAAGACACAGAGATCACTGGAATAAAACAAAGAATCTAGAAATGGAACCACACTTATCTGGTCCACTGAGTTTTGAAAGATTATTTAACATTAACATTTTATAGAACATAAACTCAATTTTTGGTTTTTTTTGGTACTGGGGATCGAACTCAGGTCCTCACACTTGCACAGCAGGTGGCGAAACCACTGAGCAAAATCCCCAGCCCAACATAAACTCAATTTAAGAGCAGAGGAAAAGACAGTTTTCAGCAAATGATACTAGAACACCTGGTATCTGTATGTAAAAAATTAACCTTTATTTCCATACATAAAATTAACTTGAAAGGATCTATGAACCTAAATATGAAAGACTAAAACTATAAAACTTTAAGAAAAAATTATAAGGGAAAATGTTTATGAATTTAGGGTAGGCAAGAATTTCCTAGTATACAAAAAACATGATGTATAAAAGAAAAAAACTGATAAATGAGATTCCATCAAAATTTAGAACTTTAAATGACATCATTAAGAAAATGAATAGTCCTTAAACGGACCATATTTATAATGCATATAACCTACAACCAGAATATATAAAGAACTCCTACAGCTCATTAATAGACAGTATAATTAAAAAGTAGACACAAGATAATAAATAGCCAGTACAGCAGAACGAAAGGTGTGCAACACTAGGATCAGAAAAATACTAATCAATACAATAACAAGATCGTATTATACACTCATTAGGGAGATGAAGTTAAAAGTTTTAAAAGAACAAACGTCAGCTTAGGTGTGAATCAGTTAGAACCTTCTAATACTGCTAATGTGAATGTAAAATGATAAAACCATTTTGGAAAACAATACAGAAATTTCTTGTATTACTGTTAAGAACAGTTCTGTTCTTAAATTTTTACTTAAGAGGAATGAAAACACATGTTCACAATAGATTTGTAAATACAAGTTGACTATCCCTTACTTGAAATTCTTGGGACCAGAAGTGTTTCAGGTTTTGGTTTGAAATTCACTTGATCTGCAAAGAGGATAGCTACTCCTGCTTTTTTTCGGGTTCTTGTCACACAGAGTATTGTTTTCCACCCTTTAACTTTCAGTCTATGAGTTTCTTTTTGAATTTAGTGTTTCCTGTATGCAGCATATTGTTGGATTTTACTTCTTGACCCATTCTGCCAGTCTATTTCTTTTGATTGATGAACTGAGACCATTCATAGATGGTTATAACTGATACATACTGACTTATCATTGTCATGACTTTTTCTTTTTGTTGGATTCTCTCCCTTTGCATTTAATTTCTTGTCGTGCCCGATGGATTCATTCACCTCGGCTTCCTGAGGTTGTGATCCTCGTTGTCTTTTCCTAGGATTTTGTCTAAAATTTTTTGGAGTTGTGGTTTGGTTTTCATAAAGTTCCTAAGGTGCTCTTTGTCATGAAAGTATCTTATTTCTCCATCAATTCGGAAAGACAGTTTTGCAGGGTACATCTAGGTTGCAGGCTGTTTTCCTTTAGGCTTGAAATGCGTCACTCCAAGCTCTTCTTGCTTTGAGGGTTTGCATTGAGAAGTCTGCTGTGAGTATGATGGGCTTTCCTTTGTATGTGATTTGTTTCTTTTCTCTAACTGCTTATAGAATTTTGTTCTTTTGTTGGATTTCTGGAATCTTAACTATTACATGCCTAGGTGTAGATTTTTTTTTGATCAAGGCTAGTTGGAGTCCTATATGCCTCGCTTATTTGTATGTCAAGTTCTTTTCCCTTCCTTGGGAAGTTTTCTGCCATCACTTCTGTGGACAGTTTTTTTATGTCATCTGCACTCTCTCGTTTCTTCATTGACTCCAATCAGTCTTATGTTATTCTTCTTTGCATCATCTAGCAGGTGCTGGATTGATTTCTAGTGGTCCCTTACAATTTAAAGAAATTTTTCTTTTCCTGGTCACTAATTGCAATCTTATCTTCTGTATCTGAAATTCTGTCCTCACATTGGCTCATTCTGCTGCATAGGCTTTCAATGGAGTTTTTAATCTCCTAGAAATCTGTTTGTATCTGTTTTATGGATTCCATTTGTTTCCTATGTTGGGATTCCATCATGTTCCTCAGCTCCTCTATTTTTTTATGTGTCCTCTCTAGATTTATTAATCATATCTTGCACTAGGGGCACAATCTCTGCTGTTATCTAAGAAATTATTTCTGATTTCATTTTTCCCAGATCCTCTTTTGTTGCCAGTTCAGAGAGTCCAGGTGGTTGAGTATCAGATTGTTCCATCTCGTTTCCCTTTGGGGTTGCTGTAGGTGATCTGGAAGTCTGTTTTTAAGGCTTGCTTACGTGTCTTCTCATTTCCACGCTGGTGGGGGGGGGTGCTCCTGGCACCCACGGCTCACCTCCTCTGCACTGGGGGAAGTGGTACTCTGGATCCACTATTTGAATAATCCACAGCAACTACTCCAACGGCACATGTCTGCCTAACATCAAGTGTTTTTTTTCTTTTGGTACCAGGGATTGAACTCGGGACCTTGAGCTTGCAAGGCAGGCGGTGGAACCACTAAGCTAAATCCCTGGCCCAAAAGTGTTTATTTTTAATTATTTTCTCCTTTAATAATAACCGAAGTCCGAGAATTCAAAAAGCACTCAAAGGCAACCAAAAAGAAATCAATCACTTTCTCATTCTGACCCTTAGCCACCAGCTACCTCTGTCCAAAGACCACTGCTAAGAAAAAAAAACACCGAGAACCTGAAAGACTTGTAAGACTCCACACCACTGGTTTATAATTTCAGATTATGAAAGGTTAAAATTATATTTTCAAGAGCTTATGAGTACCAACATTAAATCCTTTATGGGGCCGGGGATTTAGCTCAGTGGTTTCGCTGCCTGCTGCGCAAGTGCAAGGACCCGAGTTTGATCCCGGTACCAAAAAAAAAAAAAAAAAAAAAAATCCTTTATGAAGACTTGGCCTTGGCCACACCTGTACTGTTATTCAAGTATTTATATCAGGAAATGATGTGCCACAACGGACTGCAAGAAGATCATTTCTTCTTACACTCACCACCTCCACAGCTGGTATCACAGATGAAAAGAACCTTTTTGATTAACTGGTCTTCTTGTAGGAGTTTGTACTTCAAAAACTGCACTAATGGCTAATCTCGATGTGGGCTTTCTTACTGAAAGCAGCACTGGTCATGACATGGAAAGATTCCTCCTCCACATTAAGGTGGCAGCTCCTGATCAGATCCGCTGAATAGTATTAAAGCCTCCCAGGCCTCGGGGCAACACCAGCACACTTCTAAATGCCCAGGTTAGGATGGCAGACCAAGGAGATCTTGAGTCTGAAGGAGCCTTGGTCAGAACATTTATTTTTTCATTTCTTGAACACTGAATAGATGCCTTCTCACACAGACGGCACTGGTTAAGACAACTGGGGACACAGGTCACAGCTCCTGTTCCAATGTGCTTTCATCTCCCTTAACAGCTTTTCAACCTTTTGCACAAGGCAGAACCTTCTCTTAAGACAGAGTTTCTGACAGCAGGTGTGTGACACAAGTAGGCAGAGCTGCTCTGTTTGGAGCTCTGCCTTACACCCTGACCTCCTGGCACCCCTTCTCCTCACAGGCAAAGACAATCATCAGTGTTTCACACTGAGCTATAAAACACCCCTTAACTCCATAGCAGGACAAGGGTATATCTCATTTAAGGCATAAATAGAATCCTGATAATATTTGCACCTCCTAAAAGTTGAGGGGAAAAAACTAGTGTGTACCTCTTTGATAACTTGCTCTGGTTTTTGGACAGACAACTGCAATCTTTTTTGTAGGAAAAAACATTCTGTTTGTCTTGCAATATCCAGAAACTTCTGGATACATTGATCAACACCTGTGGGGGAAAAAAAAATTAAATTCAGAACAACACTAGGCATATGCATCTATTACATAAATGAATAGTTAAAATATTGAAACAGCATTTCTCATAGATGTAATCTAGGATTTTAATTTTGGCCACAGCAATAATAATGACTGCTAACTTTCTGTGTATTAGCAAACACTAAATAGCAGGTAGCACCTGCTTTTATCAGGTGAGAAACAGACCTTACACAACATGAAAGCTACAAGGCTTTCTAAAGGAAGATAATCCAGAGATTGAGAAACTAGCATTATGATTTCCAGTTAAAATGGAACATTTAAAATATGGTACAAAGAAATCAGAAGCACTGGCTTCTCTGGAGACACAACACAGGGAATAAGAGAAACCTAAAAGATTTTCTCTAAAATACTTGTTCAAAACATAATCACAACTTGTGGGTATTTAAAAAAGCTGTTCACACTGTTAGTCTTCTTTACCTAACATCAATATAAAAAACATTATAAATGGTTCATTCTGAGTGACCCATGTCAATTAATAAGCTGAACAAAGACCCAGTGGCTCATAGGGGTAATATGCAAGTATCTTATTCCCCAGAAACATTCTCTTAGGATACATGCAGGACTGAAACCCATTCAGGTATAAATGCAGCAACAAGCAATCTTGCTGAAGGCAGGAAGAGTGTCTACAAAGAGGAATTCTTACCAGTTCGAATTTCTTCCTGATCGGTGCCGTTGACATAATCCTGACTCACAAGAGAAGCGAAGCAAGCCTATGTGGTCAAAACAGCAAAAAAGATGTCATTTGCACATCAAAAATCTTGTTTTTGAGTAAGAAATGTTTCTCCTGACATCATTCAACAAGCTGATAATACTTGGGCTTGCACAGGAGGCAAAAGACCTCATGCCAATTGAAAGATACTTGGCCTGATACAATGCTTGGTAAACGGTAGTCCCAAAGGGTGCAGCAAATGAAAAGCTGGCATTTGCCAGCACCACTACCTGACTTCTATCCACCTGCCCATTCCTATCTCATTCCACACGAGGGCCTGACCACCCTCTCATACACACTCCCTTCCACCAACCTTAAATGACTGGTGTTATTATCCATTCAGAATGCAGGCCAAATGTCACCTTCGCAGACAGGCTGTCCCTGTCTGTTCTAAATGGTGTCCCTCCTGTTCATGCTCTACCCTGAGCTCCAGCTTTATTGTTTTTCATAGTATTAAATGACATTATCATCCATTCTTTGCATTACTATCTGTCCCTACTAATAGGTGTTCATTCTGTCTTTCTTGTTTCCCACTATACTCTTGAGTGCTTGGAATACTGCTTGATTTTAACAAATCCCAAATAATGGGGAGCACAAGAGGACAAGGCTGATGTCACATGGATGACCAAGTTCCAAAGTGGGAGCTCTTCCTTAAAGGGCACCGATTGAAATGCACATGTGAATCAGCCAGGAAGTTCTATGTGCAGACAACTGTCAGAAAATACACAAAGAAGGCTGACTGCAGACAGCACAGAGCCAGAAAGAGAACAGGACCAAAGCTGGGGGAAGCAGAAATTGCAAAGAAAGCCTCCAACTTCAGTAAGGGAGAGCCTCGCCAGCAGTAAGCAAACTACACTTGGTATGAGGCAGGCAGATACAGGCTCAAATTTAGATCACGAGAAATAGATGCAAGGCCCCTTTGGGAAGCAATAAATTCCCTGCCGGCAGCTTCCCCATTAGAATTACAGAGACAATCACAGGAGTCCCCCCAGGCCACAAAGCTGGAGAGGCTCCCCCAGAGCCAGCAGTGGCACAAACAGGGTGGATGGAAAACAAATCTCATAAATTTTTGTCCCTTCTTTCTCCAAACAAACGGGGATTTAGCTCAGTGCTTCCGCTGCCTGCCTTGTAAGCGCAAGGTCCCGAGTTCGATCCCGGGTACCAAAACAAAACGAAACAAAACAACAAAAAACCCCCAGACTTCAACAGAAAACACGAGTTATAGGTAGGACAAAATGCATAGCAGTCTATTAAAAAATGATTTTTCGAAGTATGCCTTGGGTAGTTTTTGCCTGAAAAGTCAGGAGGCCTGAGCGGTAGTGCCCATTTTCACAAATTCAGTTTGGTTCGGGCGAATTACTTCTGCTCTCCAGGCCTCAGTTTCTCCAGCGGCAAAAGGCGGGAACGGGACCAGACAGTTCCTAATGTTCCCTCCCACATCAAGAATGCACGAGCTCAATAAACTCCTTCCGTCTCACCAACCACAACGAGAAAGTCAGGGACCTAGAGGGGCGGGACTCAAACGGAAATGAGAAGTAAGCAAGAACCGTAAGAGGAAACAGGACGTTTCATAAGAAATGTGACCCTAAAACTGAGTCCCCAGAGAAGACTGAGACCGTTTAAGAGTGGGGCTCAGCGGAAAAGTTGGGTTCCAAAGAGGATGCGCTCGTACTAGACACCCAGATGGGTCCCGAGGCATCCCTCACTGTGGAATCAAAACCACTTAAGCCAGGTTCGGAGCCTCGGTACCCTCATTTGTAAACTGGGCGCTGGGATCCAGGAAGGAGGTAACCTGCGCACGCGCAGCTTACGTCTCCGGGACAAAGGGGTCTGCAGACTCCCGGGTCTCGGTTTACCTCAAATGATGACTCCAACTCGTCAACTAAGGTACTGTTAGCACTTCTCGGAGCGCCAGGCGTTGCTTGAAGAAGCGAGGCCTGGCCCGGATGTCCCGGCGGGGCACCCGAGGGTCCTGGGGGCTGCCCGGAGAACATACCGCCCAGCGGAGCCGCCATATCTGGAGTGGCAGGACACGCCCACTGCTCCTGCGTGAAAGCCGGTCCGGTCACGTGACGAGCGCCTGCTCTGAGCTGCCTAGGGCTCCCGGAAGCTGAGACGCTGGCGCTTGAGTACCTCCTATTTCCCTGCGAAGATGCCGCGTGCTGCTCCTCCTGCTTCTGCTCCTGCTCCTCCCCCTCCCCCTCCTCCCTTTTTTTTTAAAAGTAGTTTAATCAGTAACTGACTTTCAAACAGTTGGGTAGAGAGAGAGATTTAATAACTTCAGAGGAGCGAGTCGCTTCCTGCGGGAGTCAGAATACTCTGCTGCTGCGGACACGTGCCCTAAACGCTTCGATGGATTTTGACTGTCACTTTCTTCTCTAAGGATTCAGTTTGCGGGTGGGTAAAATGAGAAGTCATCCACTCACTCCACGAACACTTCTGAGAGCTTACTCTGTCAACTGCTAATCCAGTCTGGTTGTAGCGGGATCCAGACAGGAAACGTTCCCACCAGAGTCGGGTGTAAAAACAGCCAAACGACTATTGTCGAGGCCACCTGTTTGCCTGGCATTGTTCTCTTTGCGTATTTATGGTAATACCAAAGAGAGTCGAGCCAATATTTTAACAACTTGCTCAAATATCTTTTCATGACATGTTTTCATTTTATTTAGTTTTAGTTGCCATCCAGCATACTGAGCCTTCCATTGTCTCAGGCACTGTTTAATGATCTGGGAGTTATAACAATCACACCAAGTCTCTAGAGGGAGAGAGACAAACACATATGTATACATAGCAATGTTAGAGATAAATGCCAGGAAGGAAAATTGCATCCTTAAGAGGGGATAGCTAGTGAGGGGTGTTCTTTGAGATAGGTAATTGAGGAAGGCCTTTCCAAGATCTGAATTGGAGTGACTGGAGTGAAAATTTAACTAGAAGAGGTTTCTAGACAGAGGGTCTCCTGAATTAGGATCCTGCCTGGCTGGTATATTTAAGGGGCCACAAGAAGCATAGCAGGGCGGGAGGGGTGAAGCAGGGCTTGGATTAAAGTTGTCTTCCCAGCCTCAGTCTAAATGAGATCCAGGTGTTTAATTTTCTTCGTAGCACTTAAACATATGCTGGACTTGCTCGTTTTTTTCATTGGCTTAATTGCCCCCACTCTCACCCCAACTGGAATGCAAGCTCCAGGATATAAGTCTGCTTGACTCATTCATCTGCACCCTGAACATTCAGAACTGTGCCCGCCAAAGGTGGACATACTTGTTGACTGAAAGAATCGAAAGAAAAAGCGAGGAGAAAACTAGTCTACAAACTAGGACCCCTTTACATTCCTAAAAGTTATTGAGGATTGCAAAGATTTTGTTTTTGTGGTTTATGCCTGGTAATATTTACCTATTAAAACTGAATTTAATAAGTCAGTTCATTAAAATAATAAACCCATTACATGTTAACGTAAATAGCATTTTTATTAACACTGTAATTGTTTCCTAAAACAAAAAATGAATTAGCCAGATGTGGTGGTGCATGCCTGTACCAGGTACTCAAGAGGCTGGGGCCAGGGATTTAGCTCAGTGGTTTCTCCGCCTGCTGCACAAGCGCAAGGACCCGAGTTCGATCCCTGGTACCAAAAAAAAAAAAAAAAATGGTTAAGGTACTCAAGAGGCTGATATAGGAAAGTCACAGGTTCAATGCCAGCCTGGGCAACTTAGACTCTGTCTTTAAATTAATAAAATAAAGCTCTCCCGCTCAGCACTCCTAGGCTGAATCCCTAGTACCCTCCCTCCCCAAAAAAGCCCCATGAGTGCTAGAATTAGGTATGCGCACCATCACACCCAGCTTCTTTTGCAAAAACCTTTAATATCCACTTTACGTAACCCTGATGTAAGTTGCCTGAGAAAGTGGCTCAGTAATTCTTTTGGATTCAGCATAAAACACCCATTTTTGATTTTGCTAAAAAAATCTACTTCATTGATAAATTATGGGTCTACTATAGTGCATGGCACAGACCAAATAAATTGAGAAAATAGCAACGCAATGTGATTCATGTTTAAAGTCTTTTCATCCAGGTAGAACAAATGGATGTGGGGATACCAGTGAGGCAGCAATGTAGAGGTGTAGAGGATGATGTCTAATATTAGCAGAAGTAAAAGAGCTGGTGAGATGTGGCCCTATTAAAACCTCCAGCATTTAAAAAAAAAAAAAAAAAGAAACGGCTGGGGATTTAGCTCAGTGGTTTTGCTGCCTGCTATGCAAGTGCGAAGACCCAAGTTCGATCCCTGGTACCAAAAAACCCAAAAAACTCCAGCATTTGCTCAGGGAAAAAAACCCCAGCTGGTTGGGAATGAAATATTTTAATTTAGTAAATATGACTTTTCTGAAGGTATTAAGCTAATATTTCTCCAGGTTGAAGAGCACAGAGCTCATAGTGGGTAGAGTAAAAGGCACAGAGTAAACCTGCAAAGGAGAAATACTCTGATATGGCACCAAATGGAACATGGTCTAGAACTCTTCTTCCCCTGACCCTAGATTGAATTCTGTAAGAGCAAGCAAGGACTTAGCTTGTTTACTTTGCCCTCCCACTGCAGTGTCCAGCACAGGGTAGGCAGACCATGTTTGCTGGCTCAAGGTTCTTTTATTCAAAGTAGTAAAACATTTCCTACTACTCTGACTTTTGAGTATGAAGGCATCTTTGGATTTACTCTCCATAATCCTAAAACCTTTAACTGCCAAGGAGTCCCAAGATTTGAGTTCATCTGTATCAGATTGTCTCCTTTCTCATTTATTCAGTCAGTAGGGACATCCAACAGCAGATTAGGTCATGTGCTGTGAGCAGAGAGAGCAATAAACTTGAGAGCTAAGTTACCTGCCCTCATTGTACTTAGAATGTGAACTGGCCCTTTATAACAAAGGTTTAGCGATGGTTTCTTGTGCTCAGGGCCAGGTCTCGCTGCACTTTGCAGATCAGGATTCTGATTCATGTTTTACTACAGAGTTCATGACCTGTCTCCCTTCTGACACCGCAGCAGTGCAATAGCGTGGCTTACTTTGGTTGATACGATAATGTACAGAGGCTTCAGTGAAAACTTAAAAATGTGTTAACTGCAGTTGCACCCCTTTTGCCCTGCTTTTCCTCAACTTCATGTTGCCTTCAACCCCAGCAGTGACCTGGGACTATAAGACCTTGAAGCCCAGTGGTGATGGAAAATTCACAGCCTAGGTTTTTGATGGCCATGGAACTGCCCCTGAGCCTTGGATTCCCTATTTCTGGCACCTTTTTTTTTTTTTTTTGCTACCAAGGATCAAACTCCAGACCTTGCGCCTTCGAGGCAGGCAATGGAACCACTGAGCTAAATCCCCGGCCCTATTTCTGTCACTTTTTAAAACTGCTGTGTTCTAAATCACTGGTGGTTTGGATTTTCTCACAGCCATGCCTCGTCCTGGTTGGTACCTATGGGAATAATGACCGTGGTTCTGAAGGTTAGCAAAGTGCTTTGAAGTACCTGGCTGCTAGACGCACAGGCAATGGCAACTAAACTTCATCTCCACCAGGTTAGATAGGCACATGAAACTAGGGACGGTTAAACGCCTTTTGCACACCACGTACTTGTTCTTTTATCCCCTCTGAACATGAATACCAAGGGGAGCATGCCTGCTGACTACTCTTGCCTGATTTAAATTCTAAAATACATCACAAATGTGCCTGTTCAATTCCTTCTCTATAAGCCAGTTTAGATACCTAATATCCATTTTACATGTCATACTGTTTAAAAGTTAAAAACAATTGTAATAAACAGCCTTTTCTGTCAAACATTTTCAAAGTCTGAATAAAGGGGGGGGCATAGGTCCTATTCTTGAATAATTTAATCCATATGATACAAAAGTGAAAAAAAGCTTTGTTCTAAAACTGCACAAATGGAATTCCGCTGATGGGCTGTAGTCCCAGGAGGTAAGCAAATAGTTTGAAAGTCCCTTGTATGGTCTAGTTTCTTCCTTCGGTATTTCAAATAGATCCCACATCTGTTCAAGTCACTGAACCGAACATGTCAGCTGTGGCGATTACCTGGCTTTAACTCTGCTGTACCAGTTACTGGCGCTGTGACGTCACGTGTTACTACCCTCACCTCAGGCCTCACTGCCCTCATCTGTTATATGGGATAATAGGACCTATTTTACTGGGTTACTCTGAGGACTTAACATATGAAAACTCTTAGAACAGTGTGTGGCAGATGGTTAAGTTCACAGTGATCAAGTTAGTATTATTACTTTACTTTGTGACTAATTCAGAAATCACATGCCAGGCCACTATTTCACAAACTGGTAAGCTGAGTGCTCTCAAGTGATTATCAGCGTTGACAAAACACTTAAATCTCTGTCACAATTTCCTTACGTAGTACACATAATAAAGCCAAAAAAGACAAACTATTATGGTAACATTGCCGGGTTTATAGTAATATACATATAACAGCAAAACCAGACAGCACAAAAAGTTGGATTTACTTTCTGACAATCGCATAGTAACAGTTAATTTGCTTAGTTCCTAGCACCACAGATCTGAAATATAATTTTTTTCTTTCAATTAAATGTATATTCAGGAAGTTTTAAAATGTTATGCATAGAATGAATACCTTAACCTAGCTTTACCTTTATAAATCTTTGCTTAAAATCAAAAAACAAATCAAGGCATACAAATTTTCATTTTGCTCTACCTTTTAAAATGCCATCTTTTGTTACCTTTAAAGATTTTTATCCATTCAAAAATACTAAAGTTTAACTGCCCAATGTAAGACAGATGAAGCAGTTTCCATGCCTGAACTAGGCACTGTCCTGACTGAAGCGAAGCAAGAACTCAATCAGAGTCCTGGTGGGCCTCCCAGTCATGCCTTTCCGCAGGTATGGAACCTCATCTTTGTTGGTCATCACACCTGCGATGTCTAAATGCGCCCACTTAGGATGAGTCACAAACTCCCTCAGGAACGCTGCAGCTGTACATGCTCCTGCAGATCTGAAGAGAAAGGCAAAAAGTAGTACTTACCCTGTCAATGCACACCAAACATTTAAT